ACCTAGTGTTTGGCCGGGACACACTAAAACTTGACTGCAAACAAAATTCAGTGCATTTCATTTTGTTATCTTCTATAGGAATTATCACAGGTGCTGGTACTGTACGGATTTCGCGCACCTGGGTATGTTGCTACTGTGCTCCTTTTCCTCTCATTTTTATATTAATTGATAAGGAATTCGGTAGTGATTCTGTGTTCATTCGTAATGGTGATGACGATCAGTTGTGATGCTGAAATTTTTAGCGTCCCTTCTATCAATGGTGATAGCAGCCGAAATAACTAGAGTGACTTTTGAGCGCCTTGACGAAATGCCTAGCTGAGATATTAGGAACGATGTTTGCGGGACGAACATCTGTCTAGTAATAATTCATTTGGTGGGGTCAGCCATGCTGTCAGTTTCTACCCAGATTTTATTTATACGTTTAACGAGTTGTAGGTACTTCACATCACTTCACTTAAATCTTTCAGTTGCCAACCACGTATCTAGAGTAAGCTGGTTTATGTGCTACGGTTTCGTTCACTGGAAAATGGGAGCGCGGGAAAGCATAGTTTGACGTTGGAGGCGATGTCATAGCGGTTAGTTGTTGTTCTGTTCTAGCTGCGTGAAAAAACGGGTTGCTGTGCAATGAAGGAGTTGGCTTTAACTGACGGGCTCCACCGGCTGCGTGATTCAGTTATTTGTTTCAGTGTCATTAGGCACGGGTGAGTTTAGTCCCAGGGTTCACATCCAGGGAGTTGGTAGTTGTCAGTCCGACTGAGTTTACTGGTTAGTATTTTCATACTTCACTGCCACGTCATACACTGTCCTGCACAGGACTGGTAGGAAAGATTTCTGCGGTAAAGACGGTCCGCCAACACACAGAGTTCGTCCTAACCATCGTGACTCATGAAGCATGAGTAGCTGATCCGTTATTACAGAGTTCATTATTTCATCCGACTTTCTTCGGCACTGCTAATACGATGTCCCCGCAATACCTGGCTAGTGCTTCGGAGCTAGCGGTGGTCAATCAGTGAGGGCTTTTGTGCGGCCTATCCACGTGCATGTTTCGTTTCTGATTACACCCTTGTAGCACATACTTTGCTCTTGACAGACAGGCTTATGTCACACAAGTGTCAAAGTTAGGCAAGGGCTTCACTGGCATTCCTGTTTCGAGAAGTTATCCCATGTAGAGTCGGTCAACCTGAATTTATACTAATTTCCAGGTAAATAATCTGTCACATAGGCTGACCGGTCTGCAGATATGATCTTTAAGTTTGATGCCACCCAGTCTTATAGGGACACCCTACAGTTTGCATCTGTAAAGGGCATACCCAACCGTGCGCCAGGTCTATTTAGTTTATTTAAAATGGAGAGAATCTCTGAAACGATCTGAACTAAGGATAACAATATCATCTATACACTCACTGTTTCTGGTTGAACACCAAGTATTTCAGTTCCCAAGCTTTCAGAGGCAGGTGCAGTAGTTCGAATCAGCACATCAATGATAAGTTTAAGGAGGAACGGCGAAAGGGGTGATGTCGTTTTACGTCAGTGGCGGCAGACGGCTGTACACTCGTATTCTGTCCTGATGAGCAATTTATGAGGGACATCCTTGGTCTCCAGCAACAACCAAAGTTTCTGACGATCGACAGAACCAAAAGCGGCCTGTGTATGAATAAAATACATTGCTGAAAGCGTGGTGCTTTACCCCAACCATACTTTCCCCTTGTTTCGAATTTTTCAGATAAGGCTCTTTGAACTTCTCACCAAAGCTGTTCCACTTTTCAGAAGTCATCATCATTGACAACATAATATTAGCCTCCAGTACTGATGCTTCTGAGCCGTACAACTATAATTTATTTGAAAGCCTTATTGTAAAGAAAAGAACAAAAGTGTGCGGCGAAGAACTGCTAGTCTACCATAATTATACCTAGGTGCCCACACCTCCGGACACTCGATCAGACAACCTGAAGAGAAGCTTACCACAAGAACTCCATGTACCTCAATTGTCAGCCATATCTAGTAGCGTCTCCAACCATGCTCAGCTTGAATCACCCCGACCCCATCCTGGAATACCGACAGCACCGGGACTTTTTGTAATATCTTTCACACCCCTTTGCGAAGTCAAAAACTAACCACCTCTCTTTTTGTGCCACTGTAAATTAGACAATTAAAAGAGCACCATCTACGGTGATTCATGATTCGGCGTGCACAATGCATGGCCGAACCACCAAAATGTGTGGTCCGGGACACATTCTTCGGCTGAAGTCCCCGTTGCACAACCGAAAACTCGCTTCCTAATTGCCTCGTTGTTTACAGTAGCTATTGTTGTGAGACAGTAGTTGCTGACTTTTTTAAAGTGTCTCATTCCGCTGCTCTCAGATGCCGTACAGCAAAACAACTCGTGCTACAGCCTGATAAGCATTCCCTGTGAGATTCATGGATATGCCACTTTGGCACCGTAGGTGAGTCAAGTTTATAAAAGTGAACCGGGTCACAGAGATTCGTGCATGAACTTCATCTGTCGCACTACATTCGGAACGTATACAGCTTTTAAAATACGCAAAACGCTCCACAACCTCATGTGCCTCTCCTTGGATTGTAAGCGGCGTGTTCAGCGACCGCATGTCAAAAAGCATGACCTTACACTTTATGGATGCGAAACACATTTCAACGGACGGAGTGGATTCAGTCAGTTCACCTAAATTCAATTGCTCATTTTTCCTCTTCGAACATGTAGACAACCCATAGGTATTCCTGATTGACAAAGTTTTCATCATCAGCTATTTAAACATCATCGTTTTGAGGAACTTCCAGCGTTTGTTTCATTATCAAGTCAATTACGAAAGCGAATATGTATGGAGAGTGTGTATCCTCTTTGTTTGTAAGCTTTGAAGGCCCGTGCATACTTCAATTTGGGCGGCAGGTATACACTGGAAGGCTGTCAGCCGAACGACCATTATTTATAGCTATTTTTTACCGTTGTGATATTAGAATACCCCTTTTTCGTTCTCTCCTGCCTGTGGCCGTTTTCTCATAGGTACCCGCTGGACGATGTAACTCATCTAGGATCTAGTCCCGCCGACGTGCAATCGGTATTAAATACTAAAGATATTAGAAATGGGTTACTGACATTTGCAGCCATAGTGCAGTCGCACGCCCCTAATGGTGCGCATGCGTACCTTCAGTGTGCAGCCTCCCCTCCTGGTCTCCTACTCCTCGACTCAGTCGTCAGTTGTATCAGCTCCTGCCTTCAACACGTGACTATACACCTCTATTTCTGCAGATTATCGAACAGAATGTGGTGTTTTTAACTACTGTACAGCATGTACACGGCTTACAGCTGACGAATTTCGTTATTACGATTGACAGTACCGCTTTGCCACGATATCCTGCGTTACGTTCGATCGTAGTACGGTAGCTCGCTGCCCTTTATCTGATGAGAGCCGCTTGGAGAATTTCCGGTCAATTTGTTTGGGTTGGGGTGAAACCTACAAATGGAGAATTTAACACTCTAGACACGATTGAATACCCTTAGGCTACAAAGGTCAACCGGATCCGCTTCATAACATGGGTCCAGAGAGTGACGATCCATAAGAACTGGCCGATATTTCAGTGTATTGGCAACATTTGAACCTCTAATCAACGCCTCATGAAAGAGGAGACGTTAAACATCCCTCTTCGCTGTAATTCCACGTCCTTGTATAAATAATACAGTAATGTTGTTCGCGTAGAAAATCACCAGCCCAACCAACGTCTCGGTCGTAGGCTCAAGCAAGGTTGAGTGCTTAATGTAGGTGCCTTTCCCTCGAACGCTATGAAAAGTCTCAGACCTTTCGAATCCAACGGGTTCTTCTAAGGCATTCGCAGCATAAGGTTAGAGGTTTGTCACATAGGCTATCAGGCCTTCAGTCAATTTGCTATTCTGAATTCACACTGGTTGGTGCTTAAGAGCCAGTGCTTTTGATAGAATGGGACTGAGAAATATAAGGTAATACAAAATAAGATCAGGTGAGTTGCATTGCTTGGAGATTTGTAGAACGTGATTGCATGTCATCTGGCATATTGCCGGGGAGCCAAAGCCCAGACAGGAGGACGGATAAGATTATCAAGGGAAAATTTTGGGTCAAAAGCCTAACCGAAAGACAGTGGTTCTCGACACAAGGCCTCCAGAGCAACAGCATTTTGTTACATGCTCCATGCCCAAACTGAAGGACCTGGAGATTGTGTTGGTCAGATCCATACCAACTGACCAATCTGGTACACGGAGGTGCGCATATCGTCACACCGCAGTAAGGTCTGATCTCTTCGTGACAATGTGGTTACAGAGGAAGTCCTGATGAAGCTTCTCTACAAACAATGGTGTTAGAGGTGGACGCTTACTCTCTCTCTCTCTCTGCGCAATGTTTTTCATAGACAAAATATTGAGTTGCGTAATGTAGGGTCTTAAACTTCTCTGTATTTAGTTCCCTCTTAGTAAACTTTTGTGGACCTAGATTATCTTCCGCGTGTATCAGCACCGTAGTAACTCTCTAACTAGCCAGTTGTGAAATATGTTCGACCACTTAGCTAGTACACCAACTGTGTAAAGTGCGATGGCATACTCAGGTGCTGTACGTGTCCAGTCATCGTCTAACAAGGTGGTTTGTTCTGTATGTCGCTGTTAGAATGGCGTAGATTTCCAGGTAAACATGTAACATGACAACAGGTCCATGGACGAAAATACGCAAAGTTTGGGTGCCTTTTGTGCGCTTTGATCTCTGAGATGTCACCTTGGTGGCCCTCCTTTTGTTCCATTAAAACGCATTGCAAAGTACTTCTGTATCGTCCACTTATTTTCATATTGTTTTTCCTTGCACTTTTCCACCCAATTCATGACTTTTTGAAATAACTTTTAGTTTTTGGCGATGAATCACCAATGTGAACATCGGTACTACTTCCTTTGGTAATGTTTTACTGACTCTACGTCCCATTGGCTGACACCTACTTTCGGCCTCAGCGATCGTGAATCCGCTGTGCAAATGGCACAGGAGTTTACCGCTCGTCTTCTATCGAAATTCAGAGTCCACAACCCACATATCCGATTTACACCTATCGAATCGGGTCTCGTTATTCATTATCTCTCAGAACAAAAGCTATTTCCCACCGAATTAGTCACCAGGGAGCAATTGATTAGCTGTCGGATTGCCGGTACCATACCAGAGTCCTCCCATGCACGCACAGCTGAATTAATTTACTATCAGGTAAGTCAGCGTCATTCTTAATGCCTTTTGGCTTCCGTTTGTTATAAGAAGCAAAGTAGTCTGGATGAAAGCAGGAATTATACAGGACTTGCACTCCGGAGACGAAAAATGCTCCTGTTGTTTACCAGTTATTCTTCTGCAAGGCAGTTTGTACACAATGTACGGGAAGTGTTTCTAAGGAACAGTGAGTGTACTTTTTTAACCCTGTGAGGATATTTTTTCTGCACGCACAGCTGAATTAATTTACTATCAGGTAAGTCAGCGTCATTCTTAATGCCTTTTGGCTTCCGTTTGTTATAAGAAGCAAAGTAGTCTGGATGAAAGCAGGAATTATACAGGACTTGCACTCCGGAGACGAAAAATGCTCCTGTTGTTTACCAGTTATTCTTCTGCAAGGCAGTTTGTACACAATGTACGGGAAGTGTTTCTAAGGAACAGTGAGTGTACTTTTTTAACCCTGTGAGGAATATTTTTTCAACTGTTACAAATCTTTGGCATTTTATTCTCTATTTCAACTCAGACCATTCAAATTTCCAAATTCCCTTGGAACACGGTAACAGGTGATCTGTGTGCCCAGATGTCATAGTCTATCGTGATCTCTCGTGATCTTCCACAACAGAAATGGGAGCCAGAATCACAAAAAAGCCTCCATTGTAACCTCAGTATCCATAGGAATTCCAAACACCTGAACTCTACAGCTCACATCAGTAGCCCTTAAAGCGTTGATCTGGCCGAAATATCTAAACTGGTGCCCTACTAAAAAGCATTCATACCTTGGAAGTGATACTCTCTGATTGATGCATCGCCATAGTCATCCTCATTTACAAGAAGACCGTTTCTTGCAACTACCATGCTAATGGGTTCATCATCCTTCATTCTTCACCGACTAAACTCAGTGCATGAACTACTCATCCCTTCCGCTCAGATGGGGACTGAATTATCTTACGATAGTTGTTGAAGAAGCGCTAGACTTACCGAAGGACGATCGTCCCGTTATTTTCTTGTCGTCGAAAGTAATGTTACTGCTTCGTCGTTGAGAGGAGACGTCTGCAGTGCTGCTGCGCCGACCCTGTGTCTACGAGGATTCAAAGTCTGGACTCTACGGGGCAAAACTAATGATCTGCTGTTTTGATCGCAGATTCCCTGTATGGCTAGGCCACTTTTGGCCCATGACTGTAACTCATGCGGCATCAACTACGTTGACTAGGGCATGTGCACTTTAGTTTTTCACATTTTGTAGTCCGAGGGAATCAAAAACTGAGTGCCAGAATCCGTAGAATTATTGGTGAAATTTGGTAAGCAATTCCGTCGAATTTCCGGATCATGTATGCCCTACTACTGAACATCTAAAACCTTGAACTGAGCAAGATGACAGTTTACAAAAGGTACTGAATGGCGGGGGTTTCAAGTAGTGCGGCTCGGTTCCCATTGAAATTATATACAATCGGAAGAATTATGCATTTGTCATCACCCAGCATCAGTTTCTTCCATCCTTCATTTTTCAAGCTGCAATATTTCGATGGTCTGACTCTTTTCAACCGAGAAAGCTCCCCCGTGTTCATATGTTCCAAAGCCGCAAGATTTGTGAGCACTTGTTAGGCACGACTGACTCCACAGTCAATTCTAATGGTGCGTTTTTCACTCGACTTACGACCCTTAGCAGCTTCCGCTTAGCCTTTTTTTATGGGGTTCCTGGTGATTCTTCGGCTTCTTTGCAAGCTGCCCAGAGAGACTGGCCACAAAATTACTCCCGGAAATTCCCTTCGAGTTAATTTCTTTCCAATACAGAGGGTGCTTCGTTTATGCAAGACACTTGTTTTGACATCATCATGTACTCAAACTGCTTCTCTGTTTATCAGTGATGAAGGGGATCCACGTTCTACTCTCCGATCCATCCAACTGAACTGTTGTGCTGCTTTTAAAAGGCTAATTCATCCATGGTTGCTAACGGTTTGATTTTTGGCCATAAAACATCACCTGTCGACGATCATTTTGTTTGTTGCCTGTAGGTCGGCGGCAGTTATCGATCGGATCAGGAAGTGGCACTGATAGGAATTGGCAACATCAGCCTGCATGATGTTGTCTCAGGAATTCTATTCACACCAAAATCAGTGAAAAGCTGTCTTCAATATCGTACTGAAAAATTGGATTCAATAAGTTGAAGGGAATAGTTGGCACGATATTCGAGATATCGCAGTATATTTTCATAAAGGAAACTACTCACAAGGTTGCTGAAAACTCTTCGACAGCCCATGACCGGCTTCGCCCTTCTTGGGGCTCATCAGGTAGGCGCAGTCCCCGAGTTTCCGTCAACCTTATGATCTACTTGAACCCAAATTGCACTGTTTTCGAGAAATAGGCCTATGTGCAGCACATTCAGCTGGAGGACATCATAAACGAGAGATTCAATTGAGTCTCCCATGAAAACCAAATTGATTTGCAGATGAGTGTACTTCTCGAAAACAGTGCAATTTGGGTTCAAGTGGATCGTAAGTTTGACGGAATTTCGGGGACTGTGCCTACCTGATGAACCCGAAACGGAAAGGCGAAACCAGTCGTGGGCTGTCGGAGAGTTTTCATCAACCTTGTGAGTAGTTTCCTTTGAAGGGAATAGTGTTTCCCTCATTACGCAACCACGAAACTTATGCGCGCAAGTATCGGTGGCCTGTTGTTGGAATTCATTTTCATTGCATGTCCCAACAGGACTAGGACCCTGTGCAAGCTTGCAGTGATGCAAAACAGGTCTGGTGAATCGGGAGAAGGGATTTTCAGCTCGAACCTAGATTTTATTCTCTCGGTCACGTAAAGCCCCATAGCACCACGCATACCTGCAGCAATTCACCCCTGTGCTCTCTGCGCATGTATTGAACCAACACGCTTTAACTGCTGTACCTATTAAGTCCTATACTGTTTCAATACTCTAATGGTATTATCTTATTGTGCTGTGTGCAAAATAGTCGGATCCCCAGATTCCATAGCATGTAAACGTATTTATTATAGTAACAGGAATGATGAGCGAATCAGCTGAACCATCATTTCTCACCATCTTTTGACTTTCCTCACAGCTGCTCGAAAACCGTATGTGTTCTTTCTGAACCCACGCAGTGGATCGGGCAAAGCTTTCAAGATATTCCATAAACACGTGGTACCGACTTTAGTACGACTCAGCATCCCGTTTGCCGTCTTCCAAACGCGTAAGTTGATCCCTTTATTCTTATTTTGAGGGGAACCTTTCTTACTCCGACAGCTCGATTTAGCGGTCCCTCTTTGGGTGCCTTACTATTACTGGATGCGTTAACTGCAAAGTGCCAATTTGTTGAGTTCTTTTCCTCAAACTATCGTCTACAGTTATTGAGTGGTTTGGCATCCAACGCCATTTTTAGTCATTTACCCTACAGTACACAGCTATCGGAAGTCTCGTAACCTCAGTTGGGTTCTTATTTCGCTACAACCACCGAAGCTGTGGAATTGGGACTTGATATATTCATCATGCTGATCTTTACAGGATAGGTCCGTAGTCTAGGATCACTGAAGCATATGTGCCGATTTGGACAAAATATCTAACGTCACACCATGATTTTAGGATTTTAACAGTAGAACTCTGTGGAAAAATAGTTCAACTACCTATAAGTAGTCAACTTGACTAGATTGAGTGCAGCTCTTAAACTCGAGATGGCCCAAGTGGTTAGAGCGTAAATTTACTGACCGGAAGGTCGATGGTTCGAACCCAACCTCTGCCTGACGACTTTCCCTGTCTAGGCTTGGGAAACCTGGGAGTATCCCAGCTCTCGTGCTTCCTGCGGGTGGCATGGCAGCTAGGTACCGAAAGGGTGCTGCAGCTGAACGATTATTATTATTAAACGCAGCCGGATACTCAAACAAACCGAATACTTCCTTCCAAACTCTCCAAAGTGCTTTCAAAGTCACCTAAACATGATCTGATATTTTCTGTGCATGCTGTTTGGATTGCCGAGAATATAACCTATTAGACTGGCTTTTGGTATAGCAAATATTCGTAGTGCCGAAACTGATAGGGTAGCTCTTAGTAAGAAATGAACCTTTGGAAAATAAATCGTTCCCAAGCCGACTATCACCCATACAGTCCTTCTGGTTGAGCAAATTTATCATTGTACAAAAAATGACCGATTTGAGCATGAATCCGGATTTGAAGGTATTTCGGACGTGGAAAATTACAAAACTGTTCTAAGCATCAAACGTGGACTCGGTAATATCGGCAAAAGTGCAGCATTAGGCAATAGGATTCCCGCTGGGGACAGCCCAATTGTCTGTTCCGGTAAAACTAACTCATCAGTGGACAAACTTTACAAAAACACGCATAGCTACCGGTATACTGAATATTGAAAATTCAGGACATTATCTACATAGAAATCAGAATGTGTCGCCGGCAGCAAAATAATACGTCGTTCGTGTTTTGACAGTACCACATTTGTTATTTAGAGCATTAGAGAGATCTGCGTTGCGTTTTTCGGGTTTAATTTCACTGGGAATTTTTTTATGGTTCTCGTCGTCGTTCCAATAATTTCCTTTTTGTTTTACCTTGAGGACTGCGATATGGTTATCCGCGGTTGTGCTATAATCCTCACTGAAATGTTTGTTTGTCAACCTGAAGACAGCATTTTTCACCAATTAATAGTGGCTCATTGGTCTCTCTCATAGGCGCCGGTATAAAAGAGCGTATTATACTAGAATGGTTTTCTTAACTCGAGAAAGCGTTCACCATAGGTTCCCACTTGAATACCGTGCCTGGCTTTTTCTCTTTCAAACGCACTCCCTTAATATTGAAGTTATCTAGGTGTCTCTGTTGTAGTCTATCCTTCTACCCCTGTTGATGGTACTGCGTTACGTGTTCCGCTCTTCTGCATTCTGAAGCGCATAAGCTAGTCCAGGGGCTAGACGCCTTTACCAGTCACATGCACATGAAAATGCATTAAATCAGACAAGCGAATTCGTCGCACCTGGCCTCGGAGACCTACGGTCCATTACTCCTCGTAGTAGGCGACATGGGTCTGCTAAACGGACCACTCTTCACATCGATTGATACGCTCACCCCTGCAGTTCTTCAGTTGTACGGGGCGAATATAAGACGAAGCTGGTTGTGGTAATGCTCGCACTATTTATTTTTACTTGCAGACGACTATCCTCTGAGATAGGATTAGTGGGCTCAGCTTCTCAGCATAGACTAGTATCAATTACAGGAAGAAGTCAACACCAAAACTTCCGAATCTCCTCACTACCAACAATCTAGAAGTATTCCGGATACAAGCCACACATTTACACGATAGGTTGTCATATCTGCACAAATCGCGATCCACTGTCGCCTCCAAGGATAGAATCTGCGCACTCAATGGTGTCTGAACTGCTCTGTACTCAGTCAGGTTTTCTGTAGTCCTTCAAGGCGACAACGCCATCACGGACACTGCAGAAATTAAGATTTGTCTTATGAGCAACAAGTGCCTAAGATATTGCAGTTGCCGTCTCGAAGCTGGTCTCATCGTTGGATACCTCTGGAGAGTGAACTGTCAGTACACGCCAGAGACGCCAATGGTAAAAAAGTTTCAGTTTTCGAATATCCTCTGCTCGTAAAGCCGTTTCGCTCGCGTATGTTTTGCTACGTGCCATTGCACGCCTGCACAATCCGCTGATCATCCGCATGCTGATTCGGGGTCCAGTTAGGGAGCAATGCATGAGAGTGAAGCTGATTCGTGCTACTCACAAACCTTGCAAACGATCGAAATGAAATACGGAGTACTATTTCAGACTATATTTCGTGCAAATACCTAGCCTTGGCCGGAACAACTGGGAGACCAGGCACCCAGGAACAGTTTGGAAGTTTTGGTGTCAACGAGCAAATCAACAATCATCAATGCAGGTGCTGAAATGCAGCTTGTCACCAAAAACATTATTTTCGATAGCACCAAACGAGTGTGCATTACGCAACCGTTTCATGTTGTCTCGCGGTCTTCTTGTGGGGGACGCTGTCCTTAGTGCTTAAACGGTATTATTCAGCAAACTGGTCATTAGGGTAGCTAATAAATAATTCAGCATTCTAAACCCGCCAGTTACTTTTCTGCCAAAAGGTGCTGGCTTGTCGACGTGGGTACAAAAACATCTTAGGCATAGCACCTCTCTCTCAAGTCTATCCGTGTCATCAAACCGACGCACTGTTGTAAAGGTTGCTGTGCTCTGCACTGCTTCACGGATGTTTGGGCCCGAATTTCGTAGAACACGATGGTGCTTTGATTGGTTTTTGTTGTAGCTCAACTAACAATTATCTAGTGGGAAGATTCAATTAGCCTGAGTACGAGTTTCAAAATGAGTCGTTTTTGCTTGACCAATAGCGTGTTTACGTCACTCAGTTCATGGTTGCAATTTAGACTGACCTGAAGTTCATGCCACCACATCCGTAGAAGCATTCTAGGCGTCAGCTCAGCTTACATTCATGACACCCGGGACATATACTCGACCCTAGAAATAGCGAGCGAACCACTCGTTCCATCAAATTCCATTCTGAATCGCTTCTCTACTGGCTGTCACACGACCCTGCACAGGAAACGTCAGCTTTTTATGTTCATTTATCACCTGTCTGTTCTTTTTAAATCCGACTATTACATTATAGTGTGATTGCAATTCCAATGGTTCGAAGGAGCGTCTATGTGATGTTGTTTCGAGACTGGCAGTCACTTTCTTGGGCTGAAACGTGACTGATAAATGCCATTAGCTTTCCGTGTATGGTTATACCGTTTCGGTTTGTGGTATCCGTATTTCTGGAAGCGTCTTATTTTCCGACCATATGCATACGTAATTAAGAATTAAGTCAAGTAGTGAGTGTTACTGTTCTAACTGCACATGGGACTCTTCTTGAATGGGTGAGTGCACAATCTGTCACATACGTGAACCGAACAGGTTTGGGCGCGGTCCGTGGCTTTGTTATGCATCGTATGAATGACTCACTTCCTATCGTCATCACTATCATCAATGTGCAAGACACCAGTGTCGACACTGATTCTTCACTACCAAAAATATACACCGTTTATTTGATTCTATTCAAGGTCATAAAGCAGACAGTAGACAGCGGAGAAGCCTGGTATAAGCACTCTGAATTGGCTTAGTGTTTAGAGCGCAAATTTACTGATCGGAGGGTCCGTGTTTCGAATCCGACCTCGACCTCTCGACCTCCTCTGTGTAGGCTTGGGAACCGGGGGGGTATCCCAGTCCTCGTGCTTCCTTTGTGTGGCATGGCAGTTAGGAAGCGAAAGGGTACTACAGCTGAACGACACTCCAAACAGTCAGGCTGGTAATCTTAACAGAAGCGGACAGGACGATCAACATTAACGTCGGCTAGTCGCTTTCTTCTACAGAATCCTCAACAGAGCGCAGTGAGGGTCACGGTGACCCACTTTTTGATGAGTGTGACTCTGGCTTTTGAGCTTTGTGCGCTGATTCCATCAGAAACGCGCACATCAGAGTTAATACACTTACAGATGTATGCGATTCCCCAAGCAAGCAGAGTCCTTCGATACCATATACATTGTCAATTGCTAAAGGGCACTGCATTGACTTCAAGAGGTGCCATTCAGACTGCTTTTCTAAAACAGCAGTTCACTAGACAGCAAAAATTGTATATCGCATTTCAGCATATATGATAACTGTTCGTAGCCTGTAATTGGCAAGCTCCTGAGCAAACTAGCTTAAAACACATAGTGCTGTTCAACCTCCGCAACATCGTGCAACCTCAGTCATAAAGAAAAAAACCTTCGGTGTATTTAAACATCTAGTTTAAACATCTAGTTTCATGGACAATCCTTGCAAAAAACCGTTCAGCTGCGGCACCCTTTCGGTGCCTAACCGCCTTGCTACGCAAGGAAGTGCGAGTGCCAGGATTCGTCCAGGTTACTCAAGTCTACACAAAAGAAGTCGAGATGCCAGAGTCAGGCTCGAATCATGAACCCTCAAGTCATTAAGTCCGCGCTCTAACCACTGAGCCATCTCGCCATCTTCGAGCCACATTTTTAGTCGAAAGAAATCGTCAACTTGAGTCGTGTTCCATTCACACTTGTCCCTCGTCCGTACCACTTCGTATGTAGCTGCGTAATCTACTCAGCTAAGTTATTGTGTAGCTAGGTAAAGAGTGCACTTTTTCCAAACGTAGCAGTGTTTCGAAACCATACTTTGT